TATGTGATGTTCCCATTGAATCAAAACCATTTGTGCAATGATTTAGTCAAAATTTTAAATTGTAGTAACCTTGTTTTTTCGGCTCGCCTTGTTTTTTTTCGCCCGCTCGCATTAGATTTGGAATCTGCAGAGGATGTCATCCATAAAATTTACTTGCTGTGGCCTTATTACGGTTTACCCTCAGTGATTTGGAATTGGAATTAGATTTGAAATTGGTTTGTATGTTTGTGTTACGGTGAATTCTGGCGTCCTATGTTAGCTGTATTGCTCTGTGCTCACTCCATTAGAACTGTCATTGTCATTATCATCATCGTCTTTTCCATCACTTTTCCTCCTCCTAAGCGACGCCCCCCCCCCCACAATTGCCCCAGAATCAGCTACATGAACTTCCACGTACCCAAACTCCGACTGAGGCAACCCACAACCCTCAACCGAGATAAGGGTGAGTGAATGGGGGCATGTCAAACTGAAGAGGCAGGCAGTATTAAATTAACAGTTCAGTGACTTAGTGTAGCAAAGACTTCAAAGAACTTTAACTACAAAAACGTGACCCCCTCCCCGTAAGATTTACGTGTGGTGTGTATTCAGAAAATTAGCTACTTTTAGTTTAAAAAAAGTAAAGAAAAGTAACGCTAATCAAAACCTAAAGACAACTTCGCGAAGGTAATAAGATATTGACAGTGATAGCTAATTTTGGACAGAAAACTGCATGATTTGGACAGAAAACTGCACTGTTAGCCAAATTTAATATATTTATACTTATTACCTATCATAAATACATCAATCATCACTATTGACCGACTAACCAATCATAACTGTTAACTAAGAAGGGCTACTCAGGGTAACACATTTAGCAATGTTTTCTCTTCAAGCGTTACTGCTGTCTTGTGGTGTTTAGATGTAGATTTTTGTCTGTACTCCATATAGGTTATCGGAACATCAGGACAAAATAGAAACCGTCTGCCCGACCTGACACCTGCCCGGCGGGTCACAACCCGGTCACGCACCCCTGACCGCTGCCTGAACCTCACCGTGGCCGGGAGAGAAAACCATGTACCCCCACCGTCGG